GGACCCGCGGGAGCCGCAGCCAACCGTCCCGACGGGCATCCCCGGTCCGTCCCTAGGCAGCTGTTAATTAGACAGAGATTTTGACAGAGACACAACAGGAACGTAGTGTTAAATACTAACCTAAAAGCGCCGGTGCTTCCCAAACTGGCTGGCAAGCAAACTTTTGTTCAGCTGTGTATCCAAAACAGGCACAAAAGCACAGGGAAAGCTCTCCTGTTTCCCCTCACGTTGCCATTTTCTCCTGGTTCCTCACACCTACAGCCACCTTCACATCATCATTTATCCCTGCCCTCGCCAAAGCTCACCCCCGCGGCCAGCACAGTGGTGTGCGAGGTGCCCGCGCCTGCCCTTGGCACTGCCACAGGTCGGCGGGAGGAAGATGCCACGCGGTTCCCTCCTTGGCCAACCACAGCACCATCAGCTCCATCAGGCCTGGCAACCCTTCCAGTATCATGATTGCACAGGTTCCTGCCAAATTCTCATGGGAAACCAGATCAGCACAGCCTCATCCTTAATTTCTTTCTTTGGTTCACTCTGAGACTACCTGCTGCGGGGCTGCTGCGTGTACTGAGCTGCCGTCACCCAGGGCAGAGAAGCTGTTCCTGATGTGGAGCTCCCTTGTCAGCCCCTCTCCTGCCCGATTCATCCCTCTCTCTCTCTCTTTTTAAAGCTTCTGTTCCAAGCACAGCAAGAGAAAAAGGAAGCGAAAAAGATAGGCATTGTGCCTTCAAATGCCTGGGGAGCAGAAAAGCTGCATCTCACCTGGTTTTTGTTGTGCCACTTGTTGGCCAAAGGGCGCAGCGGTGACAGCTGGGGAAGCCTCGGCTCTCCCATTCCCGCAGTCGGGGGCACACGCTGGGCAGGACCTTCATTCTCTGGTGCCTGTCACTGCTGCTGCTCTGGCCAGCATTCATCTCAACCCTTTGCAGGAGTAAGCATCCACTTTGCAAAGAAATGTACAGGAAATTGCATGCTCCAACCTGAAAAGAACAAACGACAACAGAAATTAACTGATTCATAAATATGACCAACATTTATAGGCAGCACATGCTTTGCAAAGCTTTAGTTCTGGTAACAGCAAGTAAGACAAACAGACAAAGTTAGAGGTGAGAAGATTCAGGAGCCAGAAGGGATCTGGCTTTTCTCAAGCAGAGCTCAGGAAGCCAATGTAGTGTCAAACTGGTCAGAAGATGTGCTTGTAAGTCACACAGTTAGACAGGACAGAGCAACTTCATACACAAGCAGTGCATTTTAGCATCCTGAGGCAAGGCTGAATGATTTCCCATTATCAGAATATCTTGTGCAAGTTAAGGAAATGTTACGTTCTTGACAAAAACAAGAACGGTTCTCCAGTGAGAGCGCATGCCCATGGCAGAAAACCAGAGTTCAACCAGGAACGTCCATGTATGGACCCCAAAACAACCTTCAAACTTTTATCATTGAATTTTGCTATGATTTTCTTCCGTAGTTGATTCCTTACCTGCCTGTGAAGTGACATTATTTTTCATTTAAGTTTCTTTTCTCTCCATTTACTTTTCTCCCATGCTCTCTGTCTCACTATCATCTTTCTCACATTTCAAATTACCACAACACCTGGATCCCGTAGCTCACATCTGTACTGTAGCAATTATTTCCTCAGTGCAGTATGTGTTTGCAAGTGAAATAATTTGTGTGCATTGTTTTGGAGTGGGCTCCCTGAACCCCTGTCATTCCCATGCTGCATCTGAGGGCCAGGCTGACAGCCTGGGGGGTGTTTCCAGCCTACAGTTCCCCATAGCCGCATCCCACAGCCTGTCCCTCTGACCCGAAAGTTTCTGCAGCATTGCTGTCACCTACGGACTCGCAGTGCTTTACTTCTTTGCACGATAGTGCAGCTTTGCTCTCGGGGTAGCTGGGGCTGGGAAAAGCATTTGTTGAAGGTCACAGGCTCTCAGACAGAGCCAGTCTCAAACATACCCTTGCCGTGGGGAGCAGCACTCCTCTTGCTAGCCCTTAAAGGAAGTCCCTGACACCGAGTGCTCCACCCTCCACTTCTACCTGAGCAAAACATCCTTCCTAACCTCTGTGTCTCCCCGGCACGGCAGTACCACGCTTCTCGCCTCACCCCACAACCTTGTCAGCACAGGGCCCTGGGACAGGCAAATCATGTGGGACAGGGCTCGCTCAGTCTGTACACCCCCCCGTGAGGCTTTGCTGCTCTCCATCCCCTCGCTTTTGGGTGAAGGGGTGCCCACCCAGAAGAGGCTGGTGTGTCGGGTGGGCACGTGCAGGTGCACACAAAGGCCCTCAGGGCAGGGGAGAACAGTGACATCCTTCAGAGCAGCAGGTCCCCATCAATTTGGGGTGACCAGATTCCAGCTGAGGAGCATAAGGAGCAGATGAAATCACAGTGCTTACCAGAATAACATTGCCTCCTTCTTCACCAGTTCCAGTCCCACCAGGCTCCTCACTCGTACAGAGGCTTTGGCGCAGCTGCACCCAGACGAGAGGAGGACGGGCGCTGCGCTTGTTGAACCACCTTGGCTCCTCACAGAGAAAAAGCCTTCTGCCAAAATGCCAGCTGCGATGCTGGCCCAGACTGCAGCTTTCACACCATGAACCTGCTGCTGTGACATTCCTGGGACGAAACGTCAATTTCCCTGAGCAGAGGAAATCTTAATTTCCCATTCTTATTACAGGCAAGATGAGCGCTGCAGGGGGGTGTCTAATCAAGGGGCGTCACTGTGTGTCATGCAGCAGACCAGCCTCTGCTAGCTTGCACCCTCCCCTAGACTTGCAGAGAGGCCACCAAGGCCACACGTTCCCGTGCGAGCGGCTCCGTGCCCCTCAGCCACGGCAAGGGGCGAAGCAGCATGAGAAGGAGCAGAAGACATCCGCAGGTTGCTGAGTTTAAAGCAGCCAAGAGGACCCTGAGGCAGAGAATGATGGTCATACAGACCAGACCTGTGCATTTCATTTTGGGTGTCTTCAAGGTCTTGCACAGCTCCAAGAGAGGTGACCAGATCTGGGGAGATTTCTAGTAAGGGTGTCCCTTGGCACAGAGTTTTCCAAAGCCTTTCAGACTGCCTGGGATGAGGACGGCTGTGGGCAAAAGCCCTGGACATTTCTAGGGGTCACCTATAGATGTTCTGAACCTTCTCTGGTAAAAAACAAAGGAACGTGGATTCTTCAAACTGGACTTTAAAAATCAACTTCCAGCCCTAAAAAAAAGATGATAAAGCTAGATGCTAATCTTTACATCAGTTAGGTCACTCTATGCCTGGAGCTCATTTGCCTTGCAAATACTCTATTGTTACATGCTGGGTCCCTCCCTACTCACTTAAATGACTAACTCCACCCCAAAAAAAGAAGAACTTTTGCTGAAACTGCTGGAGGAGAGACAGCTCCTGCCCCTGAAACCATGGGGCCTGTCAGCTACTCATCAGAGACCTATGACTTGGTGAGTCAAGCCTGGCTTTGCTTGTTTGAGAGGATAGCAGGGAGAGCAGGTAGAGCTGGGGTGGGCTGAAAGACCTGTTTTCTATCTGTCCATCTTCTCACCCTCCTGTTGGCAGAGGTAGAGCTTGAGCGATTTCTTACACTGGCACAATCAGCCCTCGCATCCCTTAAGCCTGGACTTGACCGATGGGGACCGCGAGCCGCTGTGCTTGCCAAGAGCCGGCGTAACGCAGCCACAGCTGTTGCGATCCAAGGGTGCCAGGTATCTCCTTGGGGACAGCTCCCTATGTACTGGGACCTTGTGCGTGGATGTCCTGGTGAGCGCTGAGCCCGTGCCCTGTCCTTGCACAGGGACCAAGACCGCAGTGCCAGGCAGCTCACTGGGAGAACTGGGCTGCTGCAGCCCTGCCCCACGCTGACAGCCTGTCCCAGTCTCTGTTCCCTGCTCTCTGCGCAGCCATTCACACAACGTGGGCTTAAAACACTTGTTCTGAGTTGGGAGCCTTTTGCACCAGCCTTCGGTGGTATAAATGATGTACACACAGTGTACAGAGCCCTGGAAACCTCATCTAGTACTTTACACCCGAGCAAACCCAATGCTATCTCTCTCTGTGTGAAAACCCTTGGTACGGCTATAGACACTGCTGTCCCCACTCGCCTTCTCCACAAACAGACTGCCATAGACTCTGCTGAAAGGGGAATATGCAGTATATTTACAAGAGGGGAATTTTAAAGAGAGGAAGATAAATTGCCAGTACTTCTTGTCATAGGGAGCGATGACACTGTGTATTCTGCCCCATAGTTCTCTCCCCCGCGTTTGCAAGCGAAAGACGGCAGCTGCACCTTTTAGAGTATGTTGTGCTATCCAAGGGGAAGTCCGCAGCGGCGCTATCATTAGCCTGGTTTTCAAATGGTGCTGCTCAGAATTTATTTTTTAAGCCGCTGGCTCTCTGTGGCAGACCTCAGTTTTCGTTTAGTTTCTCTAAAGAGACAAATAATGGATTTAATTTCTACCAATTTTTCTGTCCCTCCTTTGTCCTATACACCAGGGAAGAGAGAGGAGATGTGAGGGACAAGCCTTACCCTCCTTATTTTTTCTGATTCATCCAGTATAAAAATCCTTTGCGAACGGTGGTTGTTTCCTTTAGAACTTTTTTTGCAGAAGGGACTTCTCTCCTTGACCTCTGCTGAAGTTCATTGGCAGCACTAATGCTTACCGAGAGGTTAAAACCAAACTCAGACCATTTCCATCTCCCATGCTGGTTTGTTCCTCCAGCTGAACTCTCCATTGGAAATCTGTCTGTCCCACCACCAGAAGACCAGCAAAGTCCAAGCGTGCCGTCTGCCTGCTCGCAGCATCACGCGCTAGAAGCAAGCGGCTGCTTGTGGCAAAACTGTGTTGTTTTTAACAGAGGGGGGGATTAAGCAGCACTGGGATTTGTTCTTTGTATCCAATACTTTCCAGAACCTTGGCTTAGCGATTTTTACCTCTGCTGTGAATTATTTTAAATTATAAAGGAGACCCTGAATGAGAAGGGGGGAAACTCAGCTTACTTTGGGACTGAGCACCGAGGGTCGGGTGCCACAGCAAGAACAGCTTTATACCTTTTCTCAGACTGCCGGTGGTCGGGAGTTTGCGGTACACGTTTCCCACCTCTGCCTCCTGGGAGCTTCCCAGGTTTGGCTCCCTCCCTGGCACAGACCACAGATCTCACATGAGCAATGCCACATTTGCTTTGGTGGTGCCATCTGTTGCTTTACTCACACTCGGTGCTTGTAGCAGCAACCGACCCACAGAGATTTGCAAAAAAAAGGCTTCGACGGTGTCCTGTCAAAGCAGCAACACAAACCTTGCCTTGTGCACTCACCAGCAAGGATCGCTTGATCGATTGTACAAGTGTGGAAAGAAAAATGATGAGAACATTTCCACCAAAAAGGCATTTACCTCTATATCGCCCAGTGAGTGCAATGAGAGGCTCTCCTAAACTTCGATACCTGACAGGACCCCTCAGCTCTGTTAGTGTTATGGATAAGTAGCATACCCAAAATGACCTTGTTTCTCCATAGCAAGAAAGCTTTGCCCACTTAACCTTCCTCAGCTGCAGGCTGGAGAAACAAAAACACAGTTGTAGAAAGACCACCGATATCTCCGCCAGGTCCCCTGAGGTGCTGCCAGCCGGTGTTCATTGTAATGGGACCAACTCAACTCAAGAGCCATAAAGGCACCTGCCCTACGGTAACGTGGCATTTCCACAGGCTTTGCTCTTATCCTTAGGTTTCCCTGGTTCAGCACCCGGAGAGGGGATGAGCAGAAGCTCTCTCAGTAACTTGCACTGATGTGGGCCATTTCAGTTTTTAAGGCTTTGGGAATGAAACATCCTTCTCCCAGCCCTGGCATGGGGCTGGAAGGGAACGACTCACGTGGAAAATCCCTAGAAGTGCACAAGCTGCTCCTCTTCTGCAGCCAAACGTTTTGGTCTCTGGCAGTTGTGGGGAACCGAGAAAAACAGCTGACACGCAGAGACCGGAATAACCCTGAGATGTGGGTTAGAGGGGAAAAGGGATCCCTGAACAAAGAGCACACAGGAGCAGACTTCCCAGGCACGCTCTTGTCTGCTCAGTTACAGGAAAAGGCACCAATTTATCGCCAACCCTCAAATCTGGCTGCAGCTGTATTGCAGGAGACTTACAGAATCACAGACTGGTTTGGATTGGAAGGGACCTTAAAGCTCATCCAGTTCCAACCCCCCTGCCAGCAGCAGGGACACCTTCCACTAGACCAGGTTGCTCAAAGCCTCATCCAGCCTGGCCTTCAACACTTCCAGGGAGGGGGCATCTACAAGTTCCTTGGGCACCCTGTTCCAGTTTCTGCCCTCCCTCACAGTGAAGAACTTCTTCCTCATATCTAATCTAAACCTCCCCTCTTTCAGTTTAAACCCATTTCCCCTTGTTTTGTCATTAACTGCTCTTGCAGTTAATGACAGAGACTAATTAGAGACTTGTACAAAGGAGACCTGCGCACACGCTGTGGAATTCTGCCATCCCAGATGAGGCAGTCACCCTCTTCCAGTCCCAGAAATGGGAATTGCAGCAGAGCTCCCAAAAGCCTCAGGCTTGTCCCATTCACTGCATCTCCTGCAGCTCTGGTCCCTGCCCTTCCTGCCTCAGCCTGGACTCTGATTTTTCATCCTCTCTTATTTGTCTCCAACTCATCTCTGTCTGCTCCCACGCACACTCGCTGCTCTGCTTGGAGATGCACATGAGAGGACGCCTCAGACACGGCTCAGCGCACGCGTCCCCTGCCCGCAGTGAGTGCCTTACAGTAAGAGCCCTACCTGCCACCTTATCAGCAATCAGATGGTGTCTGATAGTGGCACTCAGCCTCCACACCTCCGGCTCCGAATGCAAGGTGATGCTGGAAACCATTCAGCAGCTAAAGCCATGGAACACCGTGCAGGCTGCCCATCCACTGTCATCGGTGGCACTGGCATGGCTTCAGGCAGAGCTCCCACACTCCAGCCAGCAAACCCAGCCCTTTCCTTTTTCCCTTTAAAGCTGGAACCCTCCAACCTCTCCCCAGTGAAATTACCTATTCCAACAGACATTCTCTTTGGGGTTTTCAGCACGGTCGCCTGTGTGTCCTGAGCAGCCTGGGTTTGGTCACTATACCAAATTGCAAAGGTTTTTTTGTTTGGTTTTGTTTTTTTCAGGGAGATTCAACAACTTTCCCTGGCCAACACATCACAGGTTTCTGACGCAGGGTCCAGGTATGGACTAGGCAGGAAATATTTTCAAGCCAGGGAGAAACAAACTGGGAGGGATTTCTAAAGGCTTTTGTCTTTGTGAGCAATCTCCAGTCTCCAGAATCGTACCCTAAACTGGAAAAATAATTGCTCTCTGGGAGTACAAATGCTTCTCACCAAAGGCTTACAAGCCCCACCATTTCATTAGGGCAAGACAGCCACGTGCATTTGAGGTTTTTTGGGCAGGGAGAAAGACTCTTAGCCCCTGAGAGGACCGGCTCTCGCCCATTGGGGTGGAAGCACCCAAACACACACAGCACAGCGGCAACACCACTGGTGGGGAACAGAACCACAGTGAGACCAAGAGCAACTTCGGTCAGACCAGAGTCTGTCTGGCTTAACGCTCTTTCTGGCAGTAGCCAGAGGTAGAGACCCAGGGAAGAGGGTAAGAGCTGGGCAAGATTATTCTGCACTTTCCCCAAGGGCTCACTCGCCCTCCTACCGTCCACTGCTTGGGGATCCCTGGGCCAACTGCCTGCTCCATGTGTTCCGTAATGCTCCATAGACTTCTTCCCCATCAACACACCTAGGCTCCCTCAGAGCCATGCAGGTGGTTTCAGCAGCACAGCAGTTCGAGACGAGCGCTGCTGCTGCTGCTGCTGCTGCGGCATCACCTCTTCACCCCAGTCGCATGCAGAGGCACCCAGCACGTCACCCAGGGAAGGCTGCTTGTGAGAGAAGAAATAGAAATCACCCTTTTCTAGCCAGGCACAATGCAGGACTCGAGGCTGGTTGTGGTCATTTGGCTTAGCAGCACATGGGGGGAGCAAAAAGCCCAAAAATCGGGTCTAGAGCTGTTTAAAGCAAGGCTAGTATTTTTAGATGGGAACTTTGGCTGACAAGGAAGGAGCAGCAGGTGCAAACGGCTACAGCTGGCAGTGAAAGGTATGAAAGCAGCGAGCAGGGACTTCCGCTGTGGTTGACACTGAAGTCTCAGCGCTGGTCTCCAGAGAGGGCGTGGGTGGGGGAGCTCAGGGTAACTGCTGCCAAGCTCTTCCCAGTCACCACTAATTTCTCAGCTTGCCACAAGCCTCCTGTACCGCCCTCTTTTTCTGCCCATCCTCATCCGAACCCTTTGCTTTTGGGAACGCCCAGCTCGTGCGAGGTTCCCGAGGCCAGCCCGAGCATGCCCACCGTCTGGGGGGCTCGTCCCGAGCATGACTACAGCTTTCCAGGACGTGGGACTTGCACAGTCTCAGCCTGAACACAGGCTGCTCACCTGGCAAGGAGCTACAGCAGACCAAATGGAAATCACATCTGCAGCAGCTCAATTGCACTTTCCTTACCGGGTACCAGCCCAAGGGCTGAGTGGCATTTTCAGATTCCCTTTTCTCCTCTGACTGCAGTTTACTCAGGACCGTGAGGTTTGCCAACAGAACAGATTTCTCTCTCCAGCATCCATCCCTGTAGCTGTGGCACGGCGACTCCTCAGAGCCATTCCTCCAGCTGTGTTCGAACAGCTGCCCTGCACCTTTGTCTGAGCCCATGGAAAGCGATCCCAAGCACCGCTGCTGCTGTGCCCACCTCACCTTGCTCTGCCCCAGGCAGCTCTCAGATCTCCAAGGAGGCAGACGGGGATGGGATCAGTGCAGAGAACTTGAGGTACAGATGTGCTCTGCAGTGAATCCCACCACCTTTGTACCTGACAGCAGACAGGACAGGGACAGTTCGTGTCAGAAACAGGTGGAAAGATCAGGAAAGCTGGGGGAGGAGGGTTCCATGCTGTGTGACAAAACCAAAAGCCACTGGTAAGTGACTCGGCAACAACCAGGGTATAAAACTGGTCACCTGTCTGGACACCAGAACATCCCCAAATACACTAGGTAAGGTTTACAGACTGAGCAGGTCACCATGCTGCGAGCAGGCAGCACCTCCTGCTAACCCAAGAGGGCTGTAGGACATGGGGATGCTCTGCTCCAGGTCTGCCAGCTGCAGCTGTGTTCAGAAACTCACCTCCTGTGACCAGACTCTCTCTTTTCCCCAGAGCCAGGTAGAGCTGAGCGGTTACTACGAAGCTGAGAACACCACCCCGTCTTTGGAAGGCTACTTTTGCTTCAACCCAGCCTCATCCATGGTCGGCAATCAGAGAGACCCCTTCAGAAAGGTCTTCATGCCCCTCATCTATCTGCTGATGTTTGTCTTGGGGACTGTGGGCAATGCCCTGGTCCTGGTCATTTTAGAGAGGTTCAAGCGCTCTCGCACTACCACAGAAAACTTCCTCTTCCACCTCACCCTGGCCAACCTGGCACTGTTGCTCACCTTCCCCTTCAGTGTGGTGGAGAGCTTAGCCGGGTGGGTATTTGGAAAGTACCTCTGCAAGATCCTCAGTGCTGTCCACAAGATCAATTTCTACTGCAGCAGCATGCTGCTGGGGTGCATCGCAGTGGACCGCTACCTGGCCATCGTCTACGCAATCCACACCTACCGCAAACGCAGAGCTCGCTCCATCCACCTCACCTGCACGGCTGTCTGGCTCTGCTCGCTGCTTTTGACCTTACCTGATCTCATCTTCATGGAAGTCTGGACAGACGACAGCAACCGCAGCATTTGCTATTTTCCAGAGGTTGGGATCGATGGCAACAATGCTTGGCTGGCGACCCGCTTCCTCTACCACACCGTGGGCTTCTTTCTGCCCCTGCTGGTCATGTGCTACTGCTACGTGGCCATCGTCCGGGCTCTGTGTCAGTCCCAGCGCCTGCAGAGGCAAAAAGCTGTCCGCGTGGCCATCCTGGTCACAGGTGTCTTCCTGCTCTGCTGGAGCCCCTACCACATCGTCATCTTCCTGAACACACTTACCAAGCTAGAAGCCTTCACCAAGAACTGTCTCCTGGAAGACCAGCTGGACACGGCCATCATGGTGACAGAGGCCATCGGCTTCACCCACTGCTGCCTCAACCCCATCCTCTACGCCTTCATTGGAGTAAAGTTCCGTAACGACTTTTTCCGGATCCTGCAGGAGCTCGGTTGCATAAGCCAGGAGACCTTGCAGGAGATCCTGGAGGTGACAAGGAAGGGCAGCGGGATCGAGTCTGACAACACCACCTCCATCTCCACTTTCTAGCTGGGAAAGGCTGCCTGTGGGCAGAACTGGCCTGAGGCTTGTCTTCCCAGCAGCAAACATGCTGTGGCCTTAGTCGTGTTTCACAAGCGTCCCCACCGTTTTCTTCACTACTCGGGAAACTGAGGTCCGATAGCCACCAAGCACCCAAAACCCACCAGACACCTTCCCTGGCTCCTTCTCGTTCTCATACATGTAAAAATCCATCTGTTGGCAAACGCTGGCTGTCCTACGGTCGCTCTGGCAGAGCCAGATGAACCTGAGCAGGTTGGAACTGATGTTTCCACCTCTCCCTCGAAAAACTGACTGCAGGTGTCCTGTGCACAGAGCCAGGCACAAGGCTGGGGTGCTGGGGGCAGGGAAAAAAGTGCAGCCAAGTAAAGGTGGAGTCATGTCAGTCTGCAAGGACTGAGGACAAAAGCTAAGCAGGTCTCTGTTTCACCAGCCCGGGTTGGTAGAGGTGTGCCTGAAGGAAGCAGCAGGACTCAGGGGCCACGGCGGCTGGAACGAGAGGCACAGGTAGGACTGGCAGGGGATGTGGAGCTCATCCCAATAGCGTGGGCACATGGTGCTGGACAGTCTCTGGCTGCAACGTTGCTCCTCCTGCTGCGTGACTTCCCCCCCAGCACCTTGATTTTCCCAACTTGGTGCATGCCAGGAGATCCTGCCATGAACTCAAAGATGTGACTGTTTCACAGTCCTTTCCTGACATCAGCTGCATCCTTTCCTGCTCGCTCGATCTGTTTCACAGCTGTTAAGAGCTCCACTGAGCTGCCTATGCAAAAGCTTTCACGAAGCGTCACACTCTAACATCGCAGGGTGTATTCAGCGCTGCTCCATTACATTTCTCTTGCTAGCTAAGCAGTGCTGTGGCCTGAACTGGACAACAGCCATACATACCGTCACAGGAGCGCGACCCTACTAAGCACGAGCACACTCTAACATCTACTCTACCATTCACCTCGGGTTGTTTTTTTTTAAGCAAAGTCAGAACATCAGATCTGCTACAGCA